CTCAAAGGCAATTGGACCAGACAACATCTCCCCGTGGGTCCTTAGAGAGGGAGCAGATATGTTGTGCGTGCCACTTACCACAATCTTCAACACATCCCTGGAAACTTGGCAACTACCTGAGGTATGGAAGACAGCAAATGTAGTTCCCATTTTTAAAAAAGGAGACAGAAAAGAGGCACTAAACTATAGACCTGTGTCATTGACGTGTATAGTATGCAAAATTATGGAGAAGATTATCAGGAGGAGAGTGTGGGAGCACCTGGAACGGAACAGGAGTATAAATGCCAACCAGCACGGATTCACGGAAGGCAAATCCTGTGTCACAAAACCTTCTGGAGTTTTATGATAAAATAACAGAAGTAAGACAAGAGAGAGAGGGGTGGGTTGATTGCATCTTCTTGACTGCAAGAAGGCCTTTGACACAGTTCCTCACAAGAGATTAGTGCAGAAGCTAGAGCATCAGGCGCATATAACAGGAAGGGCACTGCAATGGATCAGAGAATACCTGACAGGGAGGCAAAACGAGTCATGGTACGTAATGATGTATCACAGTGGGCACCTGTGACGAGCGGGGTCCCACAGGGGTCGGTCCTAGCACCAGTGCTATTTTTGGTATATGTGAACGACATGACGGAAGGGTTAGACTCAGAAGTGTCCCTGTTTGCAGATGATGTGAAGTTAATGAGGAGAATTAAATCTGATGAGGACCAGGCAGGACTTCAAAGAGACCTGGACAGACTGGACAACCTGGTCCAGCAAATGGCTTCTCGAATTTAATCCTGCCAAATGCAAAGTCATGAAGATGGGGGAGGGGCACAGAAGACCACAGACAGAGTATAGGCTAGGTGGCCAAAGACTGCAAACCTCACTCAAGGAGAAAGATCTTGGGGTGAGTATAACACCGAGCATGTCTCCGGAAAGCACACATCAATCAGATAACTGCTGCAGCATATGGGCGCCTGGCAAACCTGAGAACAGCATTCCGATACCTTAGTAAGGAATCATCAAGACACTGTACACCGTGTATGTCAGGCCCATACTGGAGTATGCAGCACCTGTTTGGAACCCGCACTTGATAAAGCACGTCAGGAAACTAGAGAAAGTACAAAGGTTTGCAACAAGGTTAGTTCCAGAGCTAAGGGGAATGTCCTATGAAGAAAGATTAAGGGAAATCGGCCTGACGACACTGGAGGACAGGAGGGTCAGGGGAGACATGATAACGACATATAAAATACTACGTGGAATAGACAAGGTGGACAAAGACAGGATGTTCCAGGGAGGGGACACAGAAACAAGAGGCCACAATTAGAAGTTGAAGACACAAATGAGTCAGAGAGATAGTAGGAAGTATTTCTTCAGTCATAGAGTTGTAAGGCTGTGGAATAGCCTAGAAAATGACGTAATGGAGGCAGGAACCATACACAGTTTTAAGACGAGGTTTGATAAAGCTCATGGAGCGGGGAGAGAGAGGGCCTAGTAGCAACCGGTGAAGAGGCGGGGCCAGGAGCTAGGACTCTACCCCTGCAACCACAAATAGGTGAGTACACATATACACTCCCCACTCACCACCGACATCTCACTACTTCCCCTGATCCCTCCCCTCCCTCAATCACCCTCCCCTCCCCCATTCACCCTAAACCCTTCCCACCCCTCCCCACTCCGCTCCCACATAGCCACAGTTCCTCCACTACTTCCCCCCCCACACTCTGACATACACACTACTAACCTAACATACAGAACTACATAGGTTTCCCACTCTGAGGTAATCAGGAAAAAACAAAAATGGGTTGCCAGAGAGCAACAAGAAAAACCAAGGGACAGGAGGAGGAAACTGCAAAGGAAGACTGGGCAGCAGAGCTCATAAAAAGGGATCATGAATGGGAAAAGAAACTAGAAGAACTTAGCATGAGAATGGAAGAGAGGATAGATATGGAAAGCAGGAAGTGGGAGGTGCATGTCAAAGCAGCAGAAGCTAGGATACAGAGTTTAGAAGAGGAATTGAAAAATCTGAAACAGCCTAAAGAACTAAAGAACATTTTGGGATTGACAACAGAGACTGCTTCCTCAGCCACAAACAAGGGGACTGTAGGGAAAGAAGGGGCACAGCTGCATGGAGAAGCTTTATCAGAGGAGACTGTAGCAAATGAAAGAGCTAAGCTTTATGTGGAGGCCCTAACAGACAACAACAGAGCCCAAGGAAAGCCGAGAAGGGGAAATGACAGGCCACTGAGCCCAAGTACGAGAGTGAGCAAGGAGATAGGCAGGCTGTTGGGCGCTCCCCACATTATCTGTAATTATACGTACTACCAGCCTACGTGAGTATTACTTTACCCTATCCACGTATCGAACTCCCACATGATAGATGTGGTACTGGAAAACCTCATGCATCAACATGTTAGAGACACTACCAGAGAGAGAGGAGAGGATGAACCAGCAAGGTTGGACCTTGTATTCACCATGAGTAGTTCGGACATCGAGGGTATCATGTATGAGAGGCCCCTGGGAGCTAGTGATCATGTGGTTCTGTGCTTCGACTACATAGTTGAGCTCCAAGTGGAGAGAGTAGCAGGAATAGGCTGGGAAAAACCAAACTACAAAAGGGGGAACTACTCAGGCATGAGGAACTTCCTTCAAGACATTCAGTGGGAGAGGGAACTGACAGGAAAACCAGTACAAGAAATGATGGACTATGTAGCAACAAAATGCAAGGAGGCAGAGGAGAGGTTTGTTCCCAAGGGAAACAGAAATAATGGAAGAACAGAACGAGTCCTTGGTTCACCCAAAGGTATAGGGAGGCAAAAACTAGGTGTACTAGAGAATGGAAAAGGTACAGAACACAGAGAACTCAGGAAAATAAAGAAATCAGCCGAAGAGCCAGAAACGAATATGCACAGATAAGAAGGGAGGCTCAGAGACAATATGAAAATGACATAGCATCAAAAGTAAAGACTGACCCGAAGCTGTTGTACAGCCACATCAGGAGGAAAACAACAGTCAAGGACCAGGTAATCAGACTGAGGAAGGGTGATGGGGAATTCACAAGAAACGACCGAGAGGTTTGTCAGGAGCTCAACACAAGATTTAAAGTGGTATTTACAGTGGAAACCAGTAGGACTCCAAGAAATCAGAACAGGGGGGCACACCAGCAAGTGCTGGATGAGGTACATATAACCAAAGAGGAGGTGAAGAAGCTGCTATGCGAACTTGACACCTCAAAGGCGGTGGAACCAGACAACATCTCTCCAAGGGTCCTTAAAGAGGGAGCAGAAATATTGTGTGAGCCATTAACAAAGATCTTCAACACATCATTTGAAACTGGGCAACTCCCTGAGGTATGGAAAATGGCAAATGTAGTCCCAATTTTTAAAAAGGGAGACAGACATGAGGCACTAAACTACAGACCTGTATCACTAACGTTTATAGTATCCAAGGTCATGGAGAAGATCATCAGGAGGAGAGTGGTGGGGCACCTGGAAAGAAACAAGTGTATAATTGACAACCAGCACGGTTTCAGGGAAGGAAAATCCTGTGTCACAAACCTAGTAGAGTTTTATGACAATGTGACAGAAGTAAGACAAGAGAGAGAGGGGTGGATCGACTGCATATTTTTGGACTGCAAGAAGGCCTTCGACACAGTTCCTCACAAGAGGTTACTGCAAAAGCTAGAGGACCAGGCACACATAACAGGAAAGGCACTGCAATGGATCAGAGAATATCTGACAGGGAGGCAACAACGAGTCATGGTACGCGACGAGGTGTCAGAGTGGGCGCCTGTGACAAGCGGGGTTCCACAGGGGTCAGTCCTAGGACCTGTGCTGTTCTTGGTATATGTGAACGACATAACGGAAGGGATAGACTCAGAAGTGTCCTTGTTTGCAGATGATGTGAAGTTAATGAGAAGAATCAAATCGGACGAGGATCAGGCAGGACTACAAAGAGACCTGGACAGGCTACAAGCCTGGTCCAGCAGCTGGCTCCTTGAATTTAACCCTGCCAAATGCAAAGTCATAAAGATTGGGGAAGGGCAAAGAAGACCGCAGACACAATATAGTTTAGATGGCCAAAGACTGCAAACCTCACTCAAGGAAAAAGATCTGGGGGTGAGTATAACACCGAGCATTTCTCCTGAGGCGCACATCAATCAGATAACTGCTGCAGCATACGGGCGCCTGGCAAACCTACGGATAGCGTTCCGATACCTCAGTAAGGATTCGTTTAAGACTGTATACCATCTACGTCAGGCCCATACTGGAGTATGCAGCACCAGTTTGGAATCCACACCTAGTCAAGCACGTCAAGAAATTAGAGAAAGTGCAAAGGTTTGCAACAAGACTAGTCCCAGAGCTACGGGGATTGTCCTATGAAGAAAGGTTGAGGGAAATCGGCCTGACGACACTGGAGGACAGGAGGGTCAGGGGAGACATGATAACGACATATAAAATACTGCGCAGAATAGACGAGGTGGACAAAGACGGGATGTTCCAGAGATGGGACACAGACACAAGAGGTCACAATTGGAAGTTGAAGACTCAGATGAATCAAGGGATGTTAGGAAGTATTTCTTCAGTCATAGAGTAGTCAGGCCATGGAATAGCCTAGAAAGTGATGTAGTGGAGGCAGGAACCATACATAGTTTTAAGGCGAGGTATGATAGAGCTCATGGGGCAGGGAGAGAGAGGACCTAGTAGCAATCAGCGAAGAGGCGGGGCCAGGAGCTGTGACTCGACCCCTGCAACCACAAATAGGTGAGTACAAATAGGTGAGTTCACACACAACACACACACACACACACACACACACACACACACACACACACACCACACACACACACACACACACACACACACCACACACACACACACACACACACACACACACCCCACACACACACACAACACACACACACACACACACACACACACACACACACACACACACACACACACACACACACACACACACTTATACCAAGGTATCTAAGAGAAACATTATAATTACAGGTGCCTCAACTGACGATGCAAGGCGGCATTCCCACTGATACTTCAGGTGTGTTCAAAGGATTTTCGTAATAATTTTCTCTGTCCAGCTGAAAATATTTTTGTCATAAAAATTTTGATATGCAGATAGTAGATTAATACACAGTAACTACCACTGGAAGTTTTACTCTCCTTATATATAAGTATATAACGAACCTCCTGTGTGCTTGACGTTGTACCAGAACTTTTATCTTTGTCTCATTAACAGGTAAAATAATAGGTAAATCATACAAATTGCTATATACATCCAGTATACACAAGATGTATATGAATTTATATGTCTATGTGTCAGTGCACCACTCAGAAACAAGCGGGTATATTACTGAGAAAGATCGCATTCAGCAGGACTCGATACGGCTACTGGGGACGGTCAAGATTCCCAGGCAGCGCTCTTATCTAATCAGCCACACAAATCTATGCTTGAAGCTGACTGACGTTCTCGGGCTGGGAAAGAAACATGGCTTGTGAACCAGGCTACCCAGTTTATGTGGCATTCATGTCTGGGTGGATAAGAGCGCTGCCTGGGAATCTTGACCATCCCCAGTAGCAATATCGAGTCCTGCTGACTGCGATCTTTCTCTGTGTATATCAGATTGCACAATCATTTGATTTTTCTTCAGTATTTCTTAATCGTTCTCATTTTTGTCATATTTCCTTTCAAATTCCATGAAAATAAATACTATCCTCTCTGTTTAAGCAAGGAGTGTCATGCAAGGTGATAATAACCTACTCTCAAACATTTACCAAGAATAGATAAATTAGATAACATTTCATAGTGAACTGAAATGGCTACCTGAGTGTAGCAGGATGTTGCAGGCGACTCATACAGGTATGTTAGGTAACGGAAGTACAGCAGCCTCCACCATCCATCAGTAAGTACCTAAGGACTATTAATAAGATAAGAGTTTAGTTCGGATTTTTAACCCCGGGAGGTTAGCCCCCCAGGATAACCCAAGAATATCAGTACATCATCGAGAGACTGTCTGTCTTATTACCATTGTGGTCCTCAATCTTGTCCCCCAGGATGCCGCCCACAGCAGTCCACTAACACCCTGGTACCTACTTGCTTGCTAGGTGAACAGGACAACATGTGTCACGAAATGCTTCGAATGTTTCCACCCTTGCCGGGCACTAGCAGTAAGTAGGTACCTGGGTGTTAGTGGCACTTGTTTGATGAGTGCCCACCCAATGGGCACTCATCAAACAAGTGCCCACTGCTCACAGTTGTGTAGCTTGTCAGACGTAACATACATACTAAGCTAAATTAATTTGTATCTATCTCTAACTTAGTATAAATACATAGAAGTAGTGTATAATGCACTCGACTATGTTGGCTTAATTACTAGATTACATCTTACAAATTAAGAGTGTATAAACAATGTGACACCCCCGTGTAGGTGTGTGTAAGTCGTCCCTTCCTGTCTCCGACACCCCCGTGTAGGTGTGTGTAAGTCGTCCCTTCCTGTCTCCGACACCCCCGTGTAGGTGTGTGTAAGTCGTCCCTTCCTGTCTCCTTAACTTAGATCGTCCCTTCCTGTCTCCTTAACTTAGATCGTCCCTTCCTGTCTCCTTAACTTAGATCGTCCCTTCCTGTCTCCTTAACTTAGATCGTCCCTTCCTGTCTCCTTAACTTAGATCGTCCCTTCATGTCTCCCTAACTTAGATCGTCCCTTCATGTCTCCCTAACTTAGATCGTCCCTTCCTGTCTCCCTAACTTAGATCGTCCCTTCCTGTCCCCCTAACTTAGATCGTCCCTTCATGTCTCCTTAACTTAGATCGTCCCTTCCTGTCCCCCTAACTTAGATCGTCCCTTCATGTCTCCCTAACTTAGATCGTCCCTTCCTGTCCCCCTAACTTAGATCGTCCCTTCCTGTCTCCTTAACTTAGATCGTCCCTTCCTGTCTCCTTAACTTAGATCGTCCCTTCCTGTCTCCTTAACTTAGATCGTCCCTTCATGTCTCCCTAACTTAGATCGTCCCTTCATGTCTCCCTAACTTAGATCGTCCCTTCCTGTCTCCCTAACTTAGATCGTCCCTTCCTGTCCCCCTAACTTAGATCGTCCCTTCATGTCTCCCTAACTTAGATCGTCCCTTCCTGTCTCCCTAACTTAGATCGTCCCTTCATGTCTCCCTAACTTAGATCGTCCCTTCCTGTCTCCCTAACTTAGATCGTCCCTTCATGTCTCCCTAACTTAGATCGTCCCTTCATGTCTCCCTAACTTAGATCGTCCCTTCCTGTCTCCCTAACTTAGATCGTCCCTTCCTGTCTCCCTAACTGAGGTCGTCCCTTCCTGTCCCCCTAACTTAGGTCGTCCCCTTCTGTCTCCCTAACTTAGATGGTCCCTTCCTGTCTCCCTAACTTACATCGTCCCCTCCTGGCTCCCTAACTTAGGTCGCCCCCTGCTGTTTCCCTAACTTAGGTCGTCCCTTCCTGTCTCAATAACTTAGGTCGTCCCCTCACAAAATATGTGATTCACCTACCTGGGCTCCTAGATTCACCTACCTAGGTTCATAGACTCACCTACCTGGGCTCCTAGATTCACCTACCTGGGCTCCTAGATTCACCTACCTGGGCTCCTAGATTCACCTACCTGGGCTCCTAGATTCACCTACCTGGGCTCCTAGATTCACCTACCTGGGCTCCAAAATTCACCTACGTGGGCTTTTAGATTCACCTACTTTGCTCATTGATACACCTACCTGGGATCCTAGACTCACCTACCTGGGATCCTAGACTCACCTACCTTTGCTTATAAACTCACCTACCTGGGATCCTAGATTCACCTACCTTGGCACCTAGATTTACCTATCAGGGCTCATAGATTCACCTTCCTGGGTTCTTAATTCTCCTACCTGGGCTCCTAGACTCACATAACTGGGCTCCTAGATTCACCTAACTGGGCTCCTAGATTCACCTAACTGGGCTCCTAGATTCACATATCTGGGCTCCTAGATTCACCTACCCGGGATCCTAGACTCACCTACCTGGGCTCCTAGATTCACTTAACTGGGCTCCTAGATTCACCTACCTGGGCTCCTAGATTCACCTATCTGGGCCCCTAGACTTACCTACCTGGACTCCAAGACTCACCTACCTGGGCTCCTAGATTCACTTAACTGGGCTCTTAGATTCACCTACCTGAGCTCTTAGATTCACCTACCTGGGTTCCTAGATTCACCTACCTGGGCTCCTAGATTCACCTACATGGGCTCCTAGATTCACCTACCTTTGCTTTTAAACTCACCTACCTGGGATCCTAGATTCACCTACCTGGGATCCTAGATTCACCTACCTGGGCTCCTAGATTCACCTACCTGGGCTCCTAGACTCACCTACCTTTGCTTATAAACTCACCTACCTGAGATTCTAGATTCACCTACCTGGGCTCCAAGATTCACCTACCTGGGATCTTAGACTCACTTATTTGGGCCTCTAGACTTACCTACCTGGACTCCAAGACTCACCTACCTGGGCTCCTAGATTCACTTAACTGGGTTCCTAGATTCACCTACCTGAGCTCTTAGATTCACCTACCTGGGCTCCTAGATTCACCTACCTGGGCTCCTAGATTCACCTACATGGGCTCCTAGATTCACCTACCTTTGCTTATAAACTCACCTACCTGGGATCCTAGATTCACCTACCTTGGCACCTAGATTTACCTATCAGGGCTCATAGATTCACCTTCCTGGGTTCTTAATTCTTCTACCTGGGCTCCTAGACTCACCTAACTGGGCTCCTAGATTCACCTAACTGGGCTCCTAGATTCACCTAACTGGGCTCCTAGATTCACATATCTGGGCTCCTAGATTCACCTACCCGGGATCCTAGACTCACCTACCTGGGCTCCTAGATTCACTTAACTGGGCTTCTAGATTCACCTACCTGGGCTCCTAGATTCACCTATCTGGGCCCCTAGACTTACCTACCTGGACTCCAAGACTCACCTACCTGGGCTCCTAGATTCACTTAACTGGGCTCTTAGATTCACCTACCTGAGCTCTTAGATTCACCTACCTGGGCTCCTAGATTCACCTACCTGGGATCCTAGATTCACCTACCTGGGAACCTAGATTCACCTACCTGGGCTCCTAGATTCACCTACCTGGCCTCCTTAATTCACATACCTGGGCTCCTAGATTCACCTACCTGGGCTCCTAGACTCACCTACCTTTGCTTATAAACTCACCTACCTGAGATTCTAGATTCACCTACCTGGGCTCCAAGATTCACCTACATGGGATCTTAGACTCACTTATTTGGGCTCCTAGATTCACCTAAGTGGGCTCCTAGATTCACCTACCTGGGATCTTAGACTCACTTATTTGGGCTCCTAGATTCACCTACCTGGGATCTTAGACTCACTTATTTGGGCTCCTAGATTCACCTACCTGGGCTCCCAGATTCACCTATATGGGCCCCTAGACTCACCTACCTGGGCTCCTAGATTCACCTACCTGGGATCTTAGACTCACTTATTTGGGCTCCTAGATTCACCTACTTGGGCTCCCAGATTCACCTACCTGGACCCCTAGACTCACCTACCTGGGCTCCTAGACTCACCTTTTTGGGCTCCTGGACTCACCTACCTGGGCTCCTCCATATTCCTTTGCACCTTTGCAAGGTCTTGATAAAGTGCTAGCTGCAACACTAAAGGCCTAGAGCTATCATTCAACTTTCATTTGCATCTATAGTTGTATCATCGTTACAACGAAAATGTTCAGCTGCCTCCCAACAGGCTGTTACTGTGGCCAGCAGTAACAGCCTGGTTGATCAGACCCTGATCCACAGCGAGGCCAGGCCATGGAACTGGTCTCGGGGGGGGCGGTGATCCCTGAAACATCCTGCAGGTATACTCCAGGTTTACTCTAGGTATACACAGCTATTTTCTTAACTTAGAGGAAAAGTCTCCTGCAGTTGCACTTTAAGATATATCTGTCTAGTATTTAAATTCAGTAAGTTTTTATAATTAAGAAATAGGTGTTTGTAAACTCTAGCTCCTGGTCCCTCAGAGGTGAGCAGCACCAGCGCCCCGGGCCTGAGTGGTCCACTACCAGCTGGTGGACCCCTGGGTACTACACCAGCTGCAACACTCATGCTGCCGCCACTACACCAGCTGAGGAAGAAGGGAACTGAAGAAATACTTAACATGATCCTCCCACCCAGGGAGTGGGAGGAGAACGGTGAGTGGGAGATTGAGAGGGAGGGAGTGGGAGAGGGATATATATATATATATATATATATATATATATATATATATATATATATATATATATATATATATCAGTGAACATTGCATTAATGGATATATATATATATATATATATATATATATATATATATATATATATATGAGAGAGAGAGAGAGAGAGAGAGAGAGAGAGAGAGAGAGAGAGAGAGAGAGAGAGAGAGAGAGAGAGAGAGAGAGAGAGAGAGAAAGAGAGAGAGAGAGAGAGAGAGAGAGAGAGAGAGGTCCTCTTTGTCCAACACTTTGCTGCCAAAATGCTGGTTCCTGATCCAGCAAAGGACCCTCCTTGGCTAGCTGCAAGAACTGTGTCAAAACTGTCAGTGGATTGCGTGCAGCCAACAGTAACAGCCTGGTTGATCAGGCCCTGATCCACCATGAAGCCTGGTCACAGACTGGGCCGCTGGGGCGTTGAGCCCCGGAACTCTCTCCAGGTAAACTGCAGGTGACAATAAAGCAGGAGGAGGTGTATCTTTTTAAATCGCTGGGCCAAGAAAAAACAGTGGGCCCAGACAAGTTGAACCCAAGATTGTTGAGAAGATGTGCAGACCAGCTAACAGCACCTCTAACTCGCATCTTTCAGCACTGCCTAGTACAGTGTAAATGGCCCTCTCTGTGGAAAGAGGCAAATGTAGTCCCTGTTCACAAAAAGAAGAGCAGAGCAGAAATCAGCAACTACAGACCAGTGTCACTCCTGTCAATCACTGACAAGATTCTTGAGACAATAATCTCACTATAAGTGACAGAATTTTTCGACTACCACTCACTTCTTTGTGACCGTCAATATGAATTCACGAAAGGTTACCCTGCTACTGCTCTGTTGTTAAACTTCTCCATTAAGTGGCACCAGTCACTGGATGAATCTAAAGTCATCCGTGTAGTAGCGCTGGACATTGCTGGTGCTTTCGACCGAGAATGGCACTAAGGCCTCTTAGCAAAACTGCAAGCACTGGGAATTGCAGCCTCTACACTATGTCTACTCGCTGATTACCTTCAATGGAAAGGAGTCAGCAAGACACCCTACTAAGGCAAGTGTTCCACAAGGAAGCATGCTTGGGCCATTGTTATGGAATGATTACTTCAATGACCTTCATCTCGTCCCAGAATCCCATGTATATGCAGACGACTGTATTCTGACATTTGCTTATCCAAGAGAGGAAATGCCAGCTGCTATAAGCTATATCAATCATCAGCTAAGAGCTATATCAGTCTGGGAAAACCGATTACAGGTAACATTTGCACCTGAGAAAGCACAAATGATGATGGTCTCTAGGCACTATGATGGTAATACCAGAGGAGTAGTAGTAAGTATGAATGAGAGAGCGATGGAACCCTGGGAAGAAGTTGATATCCTTGGGGTGAAATTTGATTCCAAGCTGACCATGTAGAACCACGTTGTAAATCTTACAAATAAGTCAGCCAGGAAGCTTACAGCACATCGACGTATCTAGCATCTGCTCGACAGTAGAGGTTGCAAGATTCTGTATGAGGCACAAGTACGCACACACCTTCAGTATGCTCCACTTTCCAGCTTCTACACCACAAGACGGGCAGCAAGCAGTAGCTTCAGTCTGGCTTTACCCTCTTCCAGAACATCACTTCACCTGAGATCATTTATTCCCAGGATGACTTGAGTCTGGAACTTGTTCGTACAGCATAATGATTTCAACGACATAAATGCAGTTAGTTGATCAAGTGAAATTGCTGGCCCACAGATGGCTCCAACTTCATTCTGTTCCCTATCTGTATGTTTCATAACAATAAAAAGGTTTTCAAATGAGCTGCTATAGGTAACAGCTCTTAGCTTGTAAATAAAGTTAGGAACCCTTACCCTAACCTTGCTAAACCCTGTCTAGAAAGAGAGAGAGAGAGAGAGAGGTAATGTTATAGCGTGTGTCTTTACCACTGTGTTAAACCACTGGGTATCTTGTATGTCGTGATCATGTCTCATCTGAGCTCTGTATTCCAGTGTAGTTCAGGTCACTGTTAAGTGAGCGCTCATGCCTGATGCAGGTGTGTGTACCTTTGTGTGATGAATGAGACACATGTGCAACACTTGACTATCTTTATTGTGGAAACTTTTCGCCAACCAGTGACTTCCTCAGTCCAATACAGAGAAGAATGGTTGAAGATCAGGAGTTTTAGGTAATCAATCCCTCAGCCTGGAATTGGTGATTAATGGACTGATAACATCGACCCCATATGAGGGATTGATTACCTTAAACTCCGTCTGATCTTCAACAATTCCTCTCTATATTGGACTGAGGAAACTACTGACTGGCAACACGTTTCCACAATAAAGATAGTGTAGTGTTACACAAGTGTCTAAGTCATCATTCTGTCGATGCTCTGAGACATTTATCCACATTATTCTGTGTTTAGCCAGGCGCCCGTATGCTGCAGCAGTTATTTGGTTGACGTGTGCCTCCGGTGATGTGCTCGGTGTTATGGTCACCCCAAGGTCTTTCTCCCTGAGTGAGGTCTGTAGTCTTTGTCAACCTAGCCTATACTCTGTCTGCGGTCTTCTTTGCCCCTCCCCAATCTTCATGACTTTGCATTTGGCAGGGTTGAATTCGAGAAGCCAGTTTCTGCACCACATGTCCAGCCTGTCCAGGTCTCTTTGCAGTCCTGCCTCATCCTCATCCGATTTAATTCTTCTCATCAGCTTCACATCATCTGCAAATAGGGACACTTCAAGGTCTATTCCATCATGTCGTTCGCATATATTAAAAATAGCACTGGTCCTAGAACTGACCCCTGTGGGACCCCGCTCATCACAGGCGCCCACTGTGATACCTCTTCACGTATCATGACTTGTTGTTGCCTCCCTGTCAGGTATTCCCTGATCCATTGCAGTGCCATCCCTGTTATATGCGCCTGATCCTCCAGCTTCTGCACTAATCTCTTGTGGGGAACTGTGTCAAAGACCTTCCTGCAGTCTACGAAAATGCAATCAACCCACCCCTCTCTCTCGTGTCTTACTTCTGTTACCTTGTCATAAAACTCCAGGAAGTTTGTGATACAAGATTTGCCTTCCATGAACCAATGCTGGCTTTCATTTATAATCTTGTTCCGTTCCAGGTGTTCCACCACTCTCCTCCTGATAATTTTCTCCATGACTTTGCACACAATACATGTCAGAGACACAGGTCTGTAATTTAGTGCCTCATTTCTGTTTCCTTTCTTAAATATGGGGATTACATTTACTGTCTTCCATTTCTCAGGTAGTTGCATAGTTTCAAGGGATGTGTTGAAGATTGTGGTTAGGGGCATGCACAGCATCTCTGCTCCTTCTCTAAGGACCCACGGGGAGATGTTGTCCTGTCCCATCGCCTTTGAGGTATCAAGGTCACTTAGCAGCTTCTGCACATCCTCCTCGGTTGTTCGCATGTCATCCAACACTTGTTGGTATATTCCCTGTTGATGTTCCCTTCTGTGGTGTCTTCCCACAGCCCTTCCTGTCTCTACTGTAAAAACTACCTTAAATCTCCTGTTTAGCTCCTCACATACCTCCTGATCATTTCTTGTGAGTTCTCCACCTTCTGTCCTCAGTCTGATCACCTGGTCTTTGACTGTTGTCTTCCTCCTGATGTGGCTATACAACAGTTTTGGGTCAGTCTTGATTCTCGATGCTGTTATTTTCATACTGTCGCTGGGCCTCATTCCTTACCTGTGCATACTCATTCCTGGCTCTGCAACTAATCTCCCTGTTTTCATGTGTTCTCTGCCTTCTGTACATTTTCCATTCTCTATTGCACTTCGTTTTTGCCTCCTTACACCGTCGGGTAAACCAGAGGCTCGTTCTGGTCTTCCCGTTGTTACTGTTGCCCTTGGGAATAAACCTTTCCACTGCCTCCTTGCATTTTGTTGTTACATATTTCATCATTTCATTTACTGGCTTTCCTGCCAGTTCTCTGTCCCACGGAACCTCCTGCAGGAAGTTCCTCAACCCTATGTAGTCCCCTCTTTTATAGTCTGGCTTTTCCCATTCAACTCCTGTTATTCTCTCCACTTGCAACTCTATATATTCAAAGCACAGAACCACGTGGTCACTAGCTTCTAGGGGACTCTCATATGTGATGTCCTCAATGTCTGAACTGCCCAGGGTGAACACAAGGTCCAATCTTGCTGGTTCATCCTCCCCTCTCACTCTGGTAGTGTCTTTAACATGTTGGTGCATGAGGTTTTCCAGCACCACATCCAACATCTTGGCTCTCCATGTTTCGGGACCCCCAAGTGGCTCCAGGTTTTCCCAGTCAATCTCCCTGTAGTTGAAATCCCCCATAACCATCAACTTTGCTCTGCTGGAGTGAGCTCTTCTTGCCACCTCAGCAAGTGTGTCCACCATTGCTCTGTTGCTCTCTTCATATTCCTCTCTTGGCCTCCTGCAGTTCTGTGGTGGATTATACATCACTGCAATGACCACCTTGTGCTCCCCAGACTGAAGTGTACCTACTATGTAGTCCCTTTCTCCTGTCTCATCTATGCCTCCCATTTTCTCGAATTTCCATCGTTTCTTTACTAGCAGAGCAACCCCACCTCCCCCTCTGCCCCTTCTATCTTTCCTCATGATCTGGTATCCTGGTGGAAAGATTGCATCTGTTATTGTCTCTCTGAGTTTTGTTTTTGTAACTGTTATGATGTCTGGGGACTTCTCATTGATTCTTTCTTGCCATTCCTCATATTTATTTGTTAATCCATCCGCATTTGTGTACCAAACCTTCAACTTCTGTTCTAATACTGTAACTGTGGTCATGGGGGAATACTGGGGTTGGGAGAGCAGGAGCCCTGGTGGGGGCCTGTGGGGGGTTGCAGTGGAGGTGGAGGAAGAGCTCCCATAGGGGGGTTGCTGTAGGGGTAGGGTTCGTGGTGTGGGGGGTGGGAGCAGAGGGATCGGTGTGTGATGGTTTGGATTGTTTAGTTGCCTTGGGGGTGTCGTGGCTGGAGTCCTTCTGCAGGTGTTTCTGGGGGGTGTGTTTGTCCTTCCACCTGTTCCTGAGTTATTCTGCTTTCCTTTTTCATTTCCTCCCATTCCTCATTTTGTTTTTGCACTCTCTCTTTCAGTATCATCCTTTCCTCCTGTGTTCTGTCTCGATCGAGGTACACACTCATGAACTCCTGTTTGCCTCTCAGCCGTGCTTTCTCCTGCAGGATCATGGTTCAAGTTGATTCTGCCTTGAAAATTACTTTGAGAGGCCGATTCCTTTTCTTTGTGAACCACCCTATTCTCTGAAAATTTGCCTCCTGGGTCGTGTCTCCCTCGCCTATCACCTTCATGATACCTTCAGTCGCTTTTTTCTCCTGCTTTCTTTCATCATAAGTTTCCCCTTCAGCTTAGTCTAGCCCATATACAAAAACTGATCTCTCCCTTTCCACCTCCCACTGTGACTCCCATTGCATCCTCTGAGGTGTTTTAGTTCCTTCCCATGGAGTGTTCCTTCAGTCCCTTCCCTAGCTGTGGCCCCTATGCTCATTGGTTTGTCCTTCCTGCTCACCTGTTCCTGGCCCCCACAAGTGTCTGGTAAGGTCCCTGCACATGTCCTAGTTCCTACAATGTCTTCCAACCTCTCATTCTGTCCTAGTGTGCTCCCTGTCTTTGTTTTGGCCCAATGTAAGTTTGACAGGACCTCTGCATACAGTTTAGCTTCCATGCTCCCTTCAGACCCTTTGTTTGTGTCTGATGCAAACATTGCTGATGCTACTTCTGTATTATCTTTGTCTCTAGGCTGTTTCAGATTTCTCAGCTCCTCTTCTAATCTCTGTATCATGGCTTCTGCTACTGTGGCATGTTGCTCCCACCTTCTGCATTCTGCTGCTAACCTCTCCTCCATCTTCCTTGCACGCTCATCTAGCCTCCTTCCCCAGTCTTCCTCCCTTTTTTTGAGCTCTGCCTCCCTGTCCTCCCTCCCAGATTCATCCTTCGAGCCCTATGTTCTCATCCTAGTTCTAGGTTGCCCCATTGCACCACAGAAGGAAGGGGGAGAGATGGTTAGGGGGAGGGGAATAGATGGTTATGGGGAGTGGGGATGGATGGTTATGGGGAGGGGGAGGATGTTTATTGGAGGGGGATAGGTTGTTGGGGAGAGGGTTAGATGGTTTGGGGGAGGGGTTAGATGGTTTGGGGAGGGGTAGGTGACTAGGGGGAAGGGGAGAGGTGGTTAGGGGAGGGGGAGTACGTGTTTGTGTCAAGTGTATATGTGCTTGTGTATGTGTGCATGTGTGGGAGAGAGAGGGAGGGGATTAAGGGGGAGGGGGGAGGGGAGAGAAGGATGAGCGACCCTTAGAAGAGGGGGGGTTTGTGTGTGTGTGTGTGATGGGATTAGAAGGGGAGGGGAGGAGAAAGAAGGCTGAGGGTAGAGTTACCGCTTGATAATGGGGTCCTTACGGGTGTGTGTGTACTCACCTAGTTGAGGTTGCGGGGGTCGAGTCCGAGCTCCTGTGTGTGTGTGTGTGTGTGTGTGTGTGTGTGTGTGTGTGTGTGCATGCATGTGTGTGCATGCGTGTGTGTATGTGCATGTGTGTGTATATGTGTGTGTGTGTGTGTACTCGCCTAGTAAGGGTGTGCGTGTGTATGTACTCACCTAATTGTGGTTGCAAGGGTCGAGACTCAGCTCCTGACCCCGCCTCTTCACTGATCGCCACTAGGTCCTCTCACTCTCTGCTTCCTGAGCTTTGTCATACCTCTTCTTAAAACTATGTATGGTTCCTGCCTCCACTACTTCACTTGCTAGGCTATTCCACTTCCTGACGACTCTATGACTGAAGAAATACTTCCTAACGTCCCTGTGACTCGTCTGAGTCTTCAGCTTCCAGTTGTGACCCCTTGTTTCTGTGTCCTCTGTCTGGAACATCCTATCTCTGTCCACCTTGTCTATTCCCTGCAGTATCTTGTATGTTGTTATTATGTCTCCCCTGACCCTTCTGTCCTCCAGTGTAGTCAGTTCGATTTCCCTCAGCCTTTCCTTGTACGACATTCCCCTGAGCTCTGGGACTAGCCTTGTTGCAAACCTTTGTACTTTCTCTAACTTCTTGACGTGCTTGACCAGGTGTGGGTTCCAGACTGGTGCTGCATACTCCAGTATGGGCCTAACATACACAGTGTACAGTGTCTTGAACGATTCCTTATTTAGGTATCGGAATACTATTCTCATGTTTGCCAGGCGCCCGTATGCTGCAGCAGTTATTTGGTTGATGTGTGCCTCCGGTGATGTGCTCGGTGTTATGGTCACCCCAAGGTCTTTCTCCCTGAGTGAGGTTTGTAGTCTTTGTCCACCTAACCTATACTCTGTCTGTGGTCTTCTTTGCCCCTCCCCTGTGTGTATGTATGTATGTGTGTGTGTGTGTGTGTGTGTGTGTGTGTGTGTGTGTGTGTGTGTGTGTGTGTGTGTGTGTGTGTGTGTGTGTGTTTGTGTGTGTGTGTGTGTGTATGTGTATATGTGTGCGTATGTGTGTGTGTTTGTGTGTTTGGTGGAAATTGGTACTAGGGTCTAAAGCTTCTATAAGTGTCTACCCTTGTGTGTGTGTGTGTGTGTGTGTATGTGTGTGTGTGTGTGTGTATGTGTGTGTGTGTGTGTATGTGTGTGTGTGTGTGTGTATGTGTGTGTGTGTGTGTATGTGTGTGAGGGAGAGATGATTAGTGGGGGTAGGGGAGGGATTGTTGTGGTTGAATGATCTGTTATGTCTCTCTGCAGTGTAGGCTCATATTTAGTCCCAGTTGTCTTTCCTAGTAATGCTACTCTCTCCACTTATTGCCCTTTCTGGATTTAAGTATCAGTTACTGCTGGTTATTATCCTATTCCTTGCTCACATTGAGAGAGGACTTCGTAGCTTCCTAAGTATTCATACTGCTAATAACTACCGGTAGTAATACTATGTTACCCCTACGTTACCCCTCGCTAGTCTGCTCTACACCTCACACTCTCGTCACCACGATCTTCACCTTATCTATGCTGTTTGTACCCTAATTCTGGTAATAGCTTGCAGGAGTGAGTGACCAGTATCTAACAGTGATGCAGAGACCAGAATCTGACAACTTGCAACCACAGTAGGTGAGCAGTACTTGCGCTGGCAGCGGTGCGGTGACAGGTTGCCAGATGCTGATGACATAGTCGTGTGTGTACTCACCTAGTTGAGGTTGCAGGGGTCGAGTCCGAGCTCCTGGCCCCGCCTCTTCACTGATCGCTACTAGGTCACTCTCTCTGAACCGTGAGCTTTATCATACCTCTGCTTAAAGCTATGTATTGATCCTGCCTCCACTACATCGCTTCCCAAACTATTCCACTTACTGACTACTCTGTGGCTGAAGAAATACCTCCTAACATCCCTGTGATTCATCTGTGTCTTCAACTTCCAACTGTGTCCCCTTGTTTCTGTGTCCAATCTCTGGAACATCCTTTGTCCACCTTGTCAATTCCTCTCAGTATTTTGTATGTCGTTATCATGTCCCCCCTATCTCTCCTGTCCTCCAGTGTCGTCAGGTTGATTTCCCTTAACCTCTCCTCGTAGTACATACCTCTTAGCTCTGGGACTAGTCTTGTTGCAAACCTTTGCACTTTCTCTAGTTTCTTTACGTGCTTGGCTAGGTGTGGGTTCCAAACTGGTGCCGCATACTCCAATATGGGCCTAACGTACACGGTGTGCAGGGTCCTGAACGATTCCTTATTAAGATGTCGGAATGCTGTTCTGAGGTTTGCTAGGCGCCCATATGCTGCAGCAGTTATTTGTTTGATGTGCGCTTCAGGAGATGTGCCTGGTGTGTGTGTGTGTTTACTACTGACTTGATCTTCATTGCTTTAAAATAATAAACAAATTTACTAGAAATTGCATGATTTAAGTTAAGTTGCCGCACTTCCTTGGTTATAACAACGCAGACACATGATTGATCCCTGTATCTGGTTCTCCAGGTTGTATGGACACACTTGTGCTTCTACACCCTCAGGTACAGCTGTGGACTTTATCTTTGGGTAGCAAAAGATTGAGTTCATAAGACACATTATTTGCATAATAAAATAATTATTTAACAAGACTCAACAGGTAGAATTAGTTCAAAGACAATAAACATTACAAGAGATTGTTGTTACCACTTATTGCTTGAGTTAACTAACCAATGAAGGAGATTTTTAACGTATATCTGGCCATGTTGGTGTTACCATGACACAGGTCAGCTGTGGGTACAATCAGTGTCAACAACACCAGCCACCTCAGTGGACGTGCAGCAGCTGCAGGAGCACCTCGACCTCCGCCTACAGGAGCAAGCAGCTTTTGAGACTGGTATCTGTCCTGTGCGACGTCAACTTTACACTCAGTGTTTTGGTACGTGATCCAAATGTAGCCGTAGGAGTGGGCATTGGTCTTTTACTGTTTTTTTTTTTTTTTGAAAGCACTTTCCGGCACCAGGTTGTCTCAGACTGAAGCAGAGAATACATATGTAAAATTAAAGTCAGAAATGTGTATGAACAATGTAAGTACGTTTACCGGGTTCATAGAATTGAAAAAAAAAATATATATGGAACAATACTTTATTGGGACTAATAATCCCACGTACGGAACAATACTTTATTGGGACTAATAATCCCACGTACGGAACAATACTTTATTGGGACTAATAATCCCACGTACGGAACAATACTTTATTGGGACTAATAATCCCACGTACGGAACAATACTTTATTGGGACTAATAATCCCATGTACGGAACAATACTTTATTGGGACTAATAATCCCACATACGGAATAATACTTTATTGGGACTAATAATCCTAAGGATTATGAACCAAGATTAACCCCTAAAAAAAACAAATAGTTTAAATAGTATATAAAGAGGAATATTTGATTTGAGGAACTGGGGAGAAGAAGAGGAACAAGAGAATGGAGAGAAGAGATGGTAAATGGATGCCAGTGGCAGTGGCAGGTCTGGTAGACGCCATCAATGACCCGGTGAGAGGTTTTTTTTTAGTTTAATATGTTTATTATGCAGCACAAACCCATCCTGTGGGCGGTAGTCAAAAGATTACAGAGGTACATAATGGGTCCAGGGACTGGGCCCCCAAAGTTTTGATAGCTGAACTAGTTACAAAGGTAATGAACTCACAAGTTACAATTGTAAAGAATTCTGTAAGTAAATTTACTTACTTACGGTTATACATAGCTACAATCATGAAGTGGTTGGTGGGTGGGTGATGGGCACAGAGGTCATGGGTGGGTCATCAATATTGAATGTTGTGTGGTTCATGGGTGGGTCTGAGACAATAAGTAAGTAAGTTTATTCAGCTATACACAAATACAGTTACATAGATTATCATACATATGCATATGCTTAGAGAACCTGGGATAACCCAAAAAAGTGAGACAGAATAACTTACTTCCATTGGCCATAATTAGTAAGAGTGTGGTATCCCCCAGTTGCCTAACTTCCCAGTTCTTTGCTTACTTACTTACTCTTTTTCCATACATTTACTTTCCCTGATTGTTTTCAGATGAGTTGATCCGACAGGTGACAATCAACTGCGCTGAGCGTGGACTGCTGTTGTACAGAGTGAGAGACGAGATCAGAGAGACACTAGATGCCTACCAGAGACTCTATACCTCCTCCTGTGCTTATGGCGTCAGAAAGGCGCTCATGGTATTTCTTTTTTTATTATCTCATTCATACTAGTCAATCCTCCCTAGACACAGATAGGTTGAAGTATGATCAGTAATTCTTCTGTTGTACAATGAGAAGTTGAAGTATGTTCAGTAAATTTTCCATATTCATTGACATAGTTTGTGTCATGTAATGTTTCTCTGCTTCAGTGAACATCACAGATGTCTGCCATCCAACTGTATGTGTAATAATAATAATAATAATAATAATAATAATAATAATAATAATAATAATAATAATAATAATAATAATAATAATAATAATCATTATAATAATAATATTTTTATTTCTACCAGTACATGTACAAGGTATACAGACCATAGCTGACATCAATGACATACTAATATATAGAAAGCCGCTTGTTCTACTGAGCATCACCCTCAAATTAGGTCAGTTTTGTCCCAGGATGCTACCCACACCAGTCGACTAACACCCAGGTAGTTATTTTACTGCTAGGTGAACAAGGACAGCAGGTGTCTTAAGGAAACACGTCCTAATGTTTTCCAGCCGGACCGGGGATCGACCCCGGACTTCAGTGTTTGGGGTCGATCCCCGGTACGGGTGAAAACGTTGGAAAACCTTTTATTTGGCTACATTTCTCACGCCAAGAACTTTATTATATAGTTCATTACTAAAATAAGAAGACATGAATATATATGTTAGAATGAAGACCAGGTACTCACCTACAGTATATGTGTTTGCAGGAGACGAGTCTTAGCTCCTGGCCACGCCTCTCAACTTGCCGCTTGCTAGAATCCCTCCCCCTAGTGTTGTGGGTTCTGTCGTACCTACTTTTAAAACTTCCCCTTTATTACCCTTTTTCCTTTTCCCCCCTTTTTGAAAAAACCAGGTTTGCTTTTTACTGCAGGTGCCGGAAAGGCTTGCACTTGTTTGGGGAATCCCTTCTGTTTGGGGTTTTAAAGGGGGGGGTTTTTTTTTTTTTTGCAGCTTTTTTAAATGTTAAAACTAAAAACTGTTTTATGAAATAAAGGGTTCTTTTCCTCAAAAATGGTTTTTGAGCGCAGTCTGGAGTTCTTCCTTGTGGGGAAATTTTTTTTTTTTTTTTTTATGTTAAAAAATTCATTTTTATTTTTATTTTCTTCCTTTTAAATGTTATAAAACTGCTTTGCTTTTTAAAATTCCACCCAAAAGGGTTTTTGTAGTTAAACCCACTGTCCCGGTGTTTTTTACTGCTTTTCAAGGAGAAATGTTTTCGCTTGTTTAGGGCTCCCCCGACCAGTGTTTGTATGTTACTGACTGCTTTTTTTGTTATTTTCGCGCTTTTAAAGTTACTGAGCTGTTTTTGTTATGCAGCGCTTTTTTTACCGTGTTTGCGGGGACGAGTTTGTTTCGGGCAGTTATTTGCGCTGCTTTTTAGTTTGAGTGCTTTTTCTATGTAGGGTTGCTTCCCCATGTTTCTTCATTTTCCTTTTTTGAGTCTTCCTGCTGTTACTCAGCTGCCGATTTTACCCTTTTTTGCTTTTACTGAGCTGTTCTGTTGTTCTGCGTGCTTTGCTATGTTAGCACTGCTTCTCTTTTATGCAGTGCTTTGCTTGTTACTGCAGCTGCTTCTGCTATTTTCTGCGGGGTTTCTGCTATGTTAGCAGCTGCTTCTGTGTTCTGCAGCTGTTTCCTTGTTACTGCAGCTGTTCTGTTGTTACTGCAGTGCTTCTCTATGTTACGCAGCTGCTTCTATGTTACTGGCTGTTCTGTTGTTATGAGTGCTTCTGTTTTGTTACTGCATTGCTTCTTATGTTACTGCAGCGTTTGCTATGTTATGAAGCTGCTTCTGCTATTTTATGCAGCTGCTTTGCTATGTTATGCAGCTGCTTCTCTTTTATGCAGTCCCCTTTTTTTTGTTACGAGCTGCTTTGCTATGTTATGCAGCTGTTTGCTATGTTACTGCCTGCTTCTGCTTGTTACTGCGCGCTTTGCTATGTTACTGCAGCTGCTTTGCTATGTTCTGCAGTGCTTCGCTATTTACGCAGTGCTTTGCTAGTTATGCAGTGCTTTATTTTAGCAGCTGCTTTGCTATGTTATCAGCTGTTCGCTATGTTATGCAGCTGCTTTGCTTGTTCTGCGCTGTTCTGCTTTTTTCTGCACTGCTTTGTATGTTACGCTGCTTCTGCTTGTTACTGCAGTGTTCTCTGTTCTGCAGCTGCTTCTGTTTTTTTACTGCAGCTGCTTCTGTTTGTTACTGCAGCTGTTTTGTTTTTTACTGCAGCTGCTTCTGCTTTTTTCTCCCGCTGCTTTCTATGTTCCTGCATGCTTCTCTATGTTACTGCAGCTGCCTGCTATGTTATAGCGCTTCGTATGTTACTGCGTGCTTCCTTTTTCTGCAGTGCTTCTGTTGTTATGCGTGCTTCTTTTGTACTGCAGCTGCTTCTGTATTTTACTGCAGCTGCTTCGGCTATTTTATGCACCCTTTTGTTGTTACGCGCCCCTTTCTTGACTGAGGTTTTACTGCAGCTGCTTTGTTGTTCTGCAGTGTTTCTATGTTACGCAGCTGTTTGCTATGTTTCATGTTCTGTTGTTACTGCAGCTGCTTTTTTGTTCTGCAGCTGCTTCTGCTTTTTTTCTGGCTGCTTTCTATGTTATGCACTGCTTCTCTATGTTATGCAGCTGCTTCTGCATGTTACTGCAGCTGTTCTGCTATGTTACTGCAGCTGCTTTTGCTATGTTACTGCAGCTGCTTTCTGCTTGTTTACTGCAGCTGTTTGTTTGGTTATGCAGCTGCTTCTGCTATGTTCTGCAGCTGCTTCTGTATGTACTGCAGCTGCTTCTGTGTGTTACTGCAGCTGCTTCCTTGCTATGTTACGGGCAGCTGCTTCTGCTATGTTACTGCAGCTGCTTCTCTATGTTTACTGCAGCTGCTTTGTATTTTACTGCAGCTGCTTCTGCTTGTTACTGCAAGCTGCTTTGCTATGTTACTCCCAGTGTTCTGCTATGTTACTGCAGCTGCTTTTTGCTTGTTACTGCAGCTGTCTTTTTGATTTATGTTTTACTGCAATTCTGTTATGTTACTGCAGCTGCTTCTGTATGTTACTGCAGCTGCTTCTGTTTGGTTATGCAGCTGCTTCTGTATTGTTACTGCTTTGTATTTTACCGTCTTGCATGTTACTGCATCCTGTTATTCTATGTTACTGCAGCTTGCTTCTGCTATGTTATTGCAGTGTTTTCTTGCCTGATGTTAAACGAAACCTGCTTCTCCCTGTGTTATACTGCTGGTGTAGCTGCTTTGCTTGTTATGCAACTGCTTCTGCTAATGTTACTCCCAGCTGTTCTGCTGGTACTGCAGTGTTCTGTATTGTTACTGCAGCTGCTTCTGCTATGTTACTTGCACGTTTCCTTCCTGCTTTGTTATGCAGCTGCTTTGCTTGTTACTGCAGCTGTTTTTATGTTACTTGCAGCCTGCTTCTCTATGTTACTGCATGCTTCTGCTATGTACTGCAGCTCTTCTTGTTACTGCAGCTGCTTCTGCTATGTTACCTTGCAGCTGTTTCTGCTATGTTACTGCAGCTGCGTTTTCTAATGTTACGGGCCCAGCTGCTTCTGCGAGTTCGTCACTTCCCTGCTATGTTCTGAGTTTTGTATGTTACTGCAGCTGGCTTTTGCTATTTTAACTGCAGCTGCCTTCTGCTATGTTACTGCAGCTGCTTCTGCTATTTTCACGGCCTGTTGTTCTGAGCTGTTCTGTTGTTACTGCAGCTGCTTCTGCATTTTTACTGCAGCTGCTTCTGCTATGTTACTGCAGCTGCTTCTGCTATGTTACTGCAGCTGCTTCTCCCTATGTTACTGCAGCTGTTTTCTGCTATGTTTCTGCAGCTTGCTTCTCCCTATGTTACTGCAGCTGCTTCTGTTGTGTTACTGCAGCTGCTTCTGCTATGTTACTGCAGCTGCTTCTCCTATGTTACTGCAGCTGCTTCTGCTATGTTACTGCAGCTGCTTCTGCTATGTTAAGCAGCTGCTTCTCTATGTTCCCTGCAGCTGCTTCTGCTATGTTACTGCAGCTGCTTCTGCTATGTTACTGCAGCTGCTTCTGCTATGTTACTGCAGCTGCTTCTGCTATGTTACTGCAGCTGCTTCTGTATGTTATGCAGCTGCTTTTGCTTGTTACTGCAGCTGCTTTTTCTTTTACTGCAGTGCTTCTGCTATGTTACTGCAGCTGCTTCCTTGTTATGCAGCTGCTTCTGCTATGTACTGCAGTTTGCTTCTGCTTTGTTACTGCAGGTTTGCTTCTGCATGTTTCTGCAGCTGCTTCTGCTATGTTACTGCAGCTGCTTCTGCTATTTACTGCAGGGCTTCTGCTAGTTACTGCAGCTGCTTCTGTATTTTACTGCAGCTGCTTCTGCTATGTTACTGCAGTTTTGCTTCTCCCTATTTACTGCAGCTGCTTTGCTATGTTACTGCAGCTGCTTCTGCTATGTTAAGCGCTGCTTCTGCTATGTTACTGCAGCTGCTTTCTGCTTGTTACTCCCAGCTGCTTCTGCTATGTTAATGCAGCTGCTTCTGCTATGTTACTGCAGCTGCTTCTGTAGTTACTGCAGCTGCTTCTGTAGTACTGCAGTCTTCTGCTATGTTACTGCAGTTTGCTTCTGCTATGTTACTGCAGCTGCTTCTGCTAGTTACTGCAGCTGCTTCTCAATGTTACTGCAGCTGCTTTTTGCTATGTTACTGCAGCTGCTTCTGCTATGTTACTGCAGCTGCTTCTGCTATGTTACTGCAGCTGCTTCTGCTATGTTACTGCAGCTGCTTCTGCTATGTTACTGCAGCTGCTTCTGCTAGTTACTGCAGCTGCTTTTTATTTTACTGCAGCTGTTCTGCTATGTTACTGCAGCGGGGCTTCTGCTTGTTACTGCAGCTGCTTCTGCTATGTTACTGCAGCTGCTTCTGCTTGTTACTGCAGCTGCTTTTTCTGGCTTTTTTTACTGCAGCTGCTTCTGCTATGTTACTGCAGCTGCTTCTGCTATGTTACTCCC